GGTTTAGGGTTTAGGGATCCCTATACCGCCCCCACCCATGGTTCCCCTCATCGAGGTTGTTAAGGGGGTAGCTACAGGTGGCATCATCACAGGATCCGAGCATTAAACCTGAAGCTCAAAATCCATACCACCTACCACCCCACCCCATCATCCCACACCTCAAACGAGGCCGAAATAATGGTCGCTAATGAGGCGGCACCTGACCCCTACTGCTAAACCTTAAACCCCGGAGGCCAAATCACCACTAATTAAGGAATTTACACTACGTGACTGTAGGAAGCCTAACATGAGTGAATATATGTATATTTCTTACTTAGTAAGGGATGCTATTGGGCTCCCTGGGGATACTAACCCTAGACCCTAAACCCCATTGCAGTGCGGGCAAGATGCCCAAATCTGCGGCCATGTAATGCCTTCTTGGCCTTCGCGGCACCCTGACGCGGAGGAGCTGAGTAGGTTTAGGGTTTAGGATTTAGGGTTTAGGGCTTGGGGTTTAGGTTTAGGTTTTAAGGTTTAGAGTTTAGGATTTAGGGTTTAGGGTTTAAAGGTGTTTAGGGGTCTTGGACCTTATTTCGAGCTGCATGGGTAGTTCAAATTGATTTCTGGTCCCATCGGAGCGGTAAATGTGGTCCTCAGACCCCAAACTACCCGTATAGTAGGGGTGCCCCAGTACGAAATCGGACCATACGCTCAGCTATGAGGCACGTCGCACACAAGCCTTCTAGCGGCAATGAGAAATGCTTAGTGGTTCTGGCGGGTTACTGTATACTTTGAGGGACCCTAGAGATGGCTAGTACACTATAGCCCTTGGTATCCCCAGTATAACCACAATGTAACCCTTTTTAAGTAGGTAACCTAACCCATTAGTAACCCCGGGGTCCTGCAAAGTAGTACGAAGGAGCCTTATTTAGCGCAAAGGGATGAGAGTAGTGCTTTTGGTGGTTGAACCTAGTAAGATTATTTTCCTTGTATAAAATACTATACCCCAAAAGGAGGATATAATCTTACTCTATATTGGGTACCATAGTATCCCCAAATAAAATACTACTCATGAGGTCTCAGACTTGGTTGTCCCGTTGCGTAGCCTGCTTCAAGAACCCAGTTCTAAGGAGCTGACACCCGAGACGTCTATATTATACTAGGGTATACATATATATATATATGGTTATATAGGGATAATGGAAAAGAAAATGGAAACTTCTGTATTAGCGTTATATAGGGGATACATTCTATCCTGGGCTAGACCTGAGATGCTCCAAAGCATGAGACACTAAATTCCCAAACTCTATATAAAGCGAAACCAAAATCCCTGAGCCCTGGTAACAGGGCTCAGGGAGTAGGGGAGGTCTAGGGCTTGTGGCTTGGACATCAAACGATGGCAGGGAAGAAAAGTGGTGAACTGGCCCTGGCACTCGCGCCAACTGTGAGAAGCTGAAGGCCTTCTGAACTGTGTTGGGGGTCTCTCCCATTCACATCTGGCCTTCGCCCGAGGTGGGCCAGAAGCTTCAGACTGTAACACCAAAAGTTCCAAAGGAGGGCAGAAGCAACTGCTACCAGGCGTCATGCCTCGGAATATGGAGTGCAGCTTCTCAAGGACCTGCCAAAGCTGCTCGGCCTGGGCATGATCGTCACACGCCTCTCGATCCAGGCTGGCCCTTCGCAGATGGTGCGTGGATTGTAAGAAGAAAGCACACCTCCCATGGAAAGCAGACCGTTTTCCAATCCCCGCTGGTGACACCAAGAAGTCGCATCGAAACAAAACCAATGAAGCAGAACAGGTTTAGGGCCTATGGTATTCCTGTTGGGCTCTTTACTCGGCACTCAGGCATTTCGGAAACTCTTCAACCAAAAGAAGAAAGAGCATAATCTCAGCCGAGCCCTTGACGAACATGGAGCCCCACTCAAGGCTCCTTTCAAAAAGAACTGTTTAAATCATTTTTGGAGCCCTTTGGGGGAGTTCCTTTGCAAATCGTTGTGCTCAAAACTCTAAACCCTGAACCCTACACACTCAACACTCAACTAAAGCCCATGCCCCGCTGAAGCCCCACTCCCTGAGCCCAACCCTCGGCAATTCTGTCCCCAAATGAGCTACTGTCTAAACTACTAGTATCCCCCTTAATAACCCCTATAGTAGTTCCCTATAAGGAGTTTAGACTATAGCTCAAATAGTTCTGCCAGTTTCCAAACTTTGGGGCTATCAGCGGCCTTCAAACAAAAACCCTATACATCCTAAACCCACAAAGCCTGAAACCCTGAAAACCTGCGCCCTTCGTCCTAAACCCTGAGCCCTGAATTCTAAACCCTGAAACCCTGTTCCCCAAACCCTGAGCCCTAAACTGGCCCTAAACCCTAAACCCTCAACCCTGAATCCTAGGCCCCCAACCCCGCACACCCTCAAAGTATGTAAATCATGGCCCAAAACACAGGTAGAAACGAAACGACAATTACTCTACATACCTTTGGGCGTCCAACCCTAAACCCTCTGAATCCGTATATAGAGCCCCTAAACCCAAAACCCAACACCCTGAACCCTAGACCTTGGGTACTGCCCCCCCCCCTCAGTGACAACTGGATAATAATTACAATATGGTTATATATAGCCCTTACTAGGACCCCTAGTATAGACTGTTACTGGGCGGGGGCAGTACCCAACCTAAACCTTAAACCCCTTTTGGCAATAATTTGGGGGGCTCCAGGAATAGACCTCGATGTTGGCGAACTCGATGAAGGCAAAGCCTCGCTGGTGTGAAGAATGCTAGGGTTTGGGGTTTTGGGTTTGGGGTTTGGGGTTTAGGGTTTGGGGTTGGGGTTTAGGGTTGGGGTTTAGGGTTTTGGGTTTGGGGTTTAGGGTTTAGGGTTCAGGGTTTAGGTTTGGGGGTTCTAGGGCTTTAGGGGCTTCAGGGCTTGGGGTCACCGGATTTAGGGCTCCAGGGCTTGGTGGTTTAGGTTTTGTGGCTTTAGGAGTTTTAAGTTTTAAGGCTTAGTGGTTTAAGTTTTGTGCTTTGGAGGTTTTAGGGCACAGAGTAGGGGCACGTAGTAAGGAGCCGTCCCTCCAACCCCACAGAACTTAGTGCTGAGGTTCAGGGTTTAGGGTTTAGTGTTTAGGTAGCCAATCTTTTCGCATATGATTATAAGACATGGAGACTATGTGGGGGGGGACTATACTAAACATAAAAAAGACTCTGATGTCCACCCTGAATGGTCCCTCAGAACGCCTAGTATTGGCAGTAGCTCATGAGAAGAATTCCGGGTTTAAGGATTCGGATTAATCCGCTCCTCAAAGAATAACGCGACCCCAACAATACATATTCCCCTAGTCTATACTGGTACTTTATCAGGGAGGGCATGGGGTCAGGGTTATTAGGATTAAGGCCTGATGATTCACTGCTTCAGCTCTGGAGCGTTGGATGTCAGTGAAAACATCTATCATTAGGTTGGGGTAATACATAGTCCTAAACACCCTAAACCCTAAACCGTTCAGCATCTCTAGACACCCTGGATCATCCCCGTGGAACACTATTCTCCACTGCCCGCGCCCGAGGAACTCCGTATACAACCAGGTCGAAACTAGGAGGCTGCTTCTGGATCTGCATGCCACAAAATGCGCCCCTAATACATATATATATATATCGTGTATATATATATATATATGTATCATGGTCTTTTCCCAGACCTATTACACTGACCGGCAAAAAAAGTCGTAAACCCCTGACATCCCAACCCTTAGTAAGCGCATCAAACAAATCAAAACGCTGCCCCTGATGTCAATAAGCGCTAACCCTGAATTAGCCCCTTGAACTCTACCTGGACCCCCGACGTAGTGCCTTTCGGGGGTATGGCATGTTGTGTTAGTCAGGATTCTTACCTACACCCTAAACCCTAAACCTCGAACCGTGTGATACACTGATCTCCTCCCCCTAATATTCAACCCCCCACCCCCCTAATACTAGTTACTCCCCAGTGTTGTATATCATAATATACTATTGGGGTATTTAATATTAGGGCAGGGTGGGAGGTCAAAAAAAGGGGGAGGGGATTACATTGGAGGGTTTAAGTCAGGTCCCGGACCGAAACCAGGAGTGTTGGGATCCACAGGGCCACTGGCACCACCGCCCTGGAAGGGGCTGTCGGGCTTAGGGGCTCAGGAGTTTAGGGATGACATCTAGGGTTTAGGGCCTGGGGTTTAGGGATGATATTTAGGCGTTAGGGTTAGGGTTTTAGGGTGTTGGGGCTTAGGCTGTTTAGAAGCCTGATTGCTTGCCAGTATGATTTTCAGGTCTTTCTCAGATTAGAAAAGCCCCTGTGTCAGCGCATGGGATTGAAGTTCAGGGTCTCAGGCCTCTAAACCCTCAACCCTAAACCCTAAACACTAAACCCTAAACCCTGGGATTCAGAGTTGAGTTCCAGGCATTATAACTTGCGGTTTTGCCATGAGGGCTTAGGGTGGAGGAGTTGGTTATAGCTTGTGGGACTTAAGCCCTGGGATTCATTGTCGGGTTTAGGGTTTAGGGTTTAACAACTTCTTCCTGGTCAATTCGTATGCACGTCCTTCTGCTTGTTCACATTCATACTTGCACTCATAATATGCAGAGTCTTCTTCCTATGCCTGTCATCCATCATCGTCCTTTTTCGGCTGCTGCTGCAAAAAGGGCCGAGTTTGAGGCTCGGACCTAGTAACAATGGAAAAGAAACTGGAAACTACTACAGTATTGAGGGTTGAAGGTTTAGGAGGATGTCTCGCAAGGCTTGAAATTCAGGGCTTCGACTGCTCTTGCTGTTGCTGGCATACTACTCTCGTGCTTCGGGATGCTTTATGGATCCAAAGTTGAAGCGATAACAAAAAGAGTGATAATGCTCCGCAAGCGTTGAATCCAAGACTGAGAGGCTTTTCCAACCCTACTGTAAACCCAAAGCCAATCCAAGGAGCGAAAAAAGTGCGGCTGGCTTATCAGGGATTGAGGATCCGGGCCTAAGTCCCAGGGCTGAGGGTTTAGGGTCAGGATTAGGGTAGCTCTTGTTGGCCCCCGGGCCTCAAGCAGAACCCAAAACTGGCTGCTCTTGGGAACTTATGTTTATGGGGACCCGGAACCCTGATTCCTCAAATCTGAGGCCTAGGCTTCAGACCCTGAAATCCCACATCCTAGATCCCAAGACCCAAAATCAACCAATAGCCTGACACCCAGACCCTAAACTCTAAACCCTGAACCCTGAACCCTAAACCCTGAACCCTAAACAACGATTTTCAAGACCTGAGGTGCCGACACCGACTCCACCCCCAGCGCCGCCAGGCTGGCCGGAGATGGCGAGGATTCGAGTTGGGAGGTTTGGGGTTTTCGGTTTAGGGCTTATAGGGTTGTGGTTTAGGGTTTAGGGTTAAGGGTCTAGGCTTTAGAGTAATCAAATTTCGTATTCAGGGATTAGGGTTGTAAAATTCAGGATTTAGGGTTTGGGGTTTTAACATTTAGGATTCAATGTTTAGGGCTTTGGAAATTCCGGGTTTTGGGTTTTAACCTGAAGGATTTGGGGTTTAAGGTTTTAACATGTAAGGTTAGGGTTTAGGGCGAAAATTTTGGGATACGGGGCTTAAAGCTTTGAATGTTGGGCTTTAAGGGCTAGGGTTTGCTTTACAAAATTATATCGTAGCTGTTATCCCAATGTTACTGAACGCGAGCCGCATCGAAGTTCAGGCTTCAAAATTGTAGGAAGTTCGAGGTTGAGAGTCTAGGGGCTCTGCAGGGTTCTAGTTTAAGGCTAAACCCTAAACCCCTAAACCCTAAACCCTTAGGGTTTAGGGTATAGTCTACTGTTAAGTTTAGGATTCAGGGTGAGGCAAGGGATCCCTCCGAACATTATGATCCGTCTGGGGTTCGCAGAGCCAGGTGTTTTTCGGACTGAAAGGATGCAGTCCTCTTAACATTAACCCTTAGGGTTTAGTGGTTTAGGGGTTTAGGGGTTTAGGGTTTAGTTGGATTTAGATAACAAGTTCGACAGACTCCTGTCTGACCATTATGGTTTTCACCTTGCAGCGACTCTGAAATACTCTGAAGCTACTCACCCTCAAAATGATCCTATCACTTGTAGCCGCCTACTGTCTCCAGAACTGTGTCTGTTCAGATTTTGAGATTGTCTGCGATCATGCAACTCTCGTCTACCTTGCCCTTATGTCTGCCATCTTGGGCCAAGTAGCCCATTCTGTAAGGTTCTGGGTCTTTCAGCTTGGAGTTAAGCCTATCATGACTGTTTTATGGCTTTGGCGCGGTTCATGTGGTCTAGGGCTTGAGGGTTTAGGGTTTAGGGTTTGCGGTCTCGATGTGGGATGCCAGGGCAATGTAGCGCTCACGGCTGAGGACTTGCGAGGTAGCGGGCAGGTTCTACCCCTTAAAACCCCGCCCCCCATACCAGAAAAGCTCAATGCGGTTTAGGGTTTAGGGTTAAACTCAACCTCAACCGCCAGCTCGCGGGGAAGTGCTACACTGTGGCCCTTTCTGAACCCCTACGCATACAGCCATTTTTAACATCTCCAAACAAACCCTAAACCTCAAGCCCTATCTTGAGCCCTTAAAAACCTAAACCCTAAAACCTAAACCCTAAATCCTAAACCCCGAAACCTAAATCCTAAATTCCTAAACCCTTCAAAGCCCCGGAACCTGACCCTAAAACCTAAACCAAAAGTAGATGAAATAATCATCCAAAATCCTTAAAAATAGACCAACAAGGCAAGTATTTTACATACTTCGGGGTTCAGGTATACCCTCCACCAAACCCCAGGCCCCGCTACATGCCGAACCTTGGCCAGCTGCCCACCAATCGGAACCAGCGCCATGGACAAGTCCTGAAAATCACATTGTTAAGGGTTTAGGTTTAGAGTTAAGGGTTTAGAGTTTAATGTTTAGGGCTTAGGGTTCCAAAGCGATGGCGGGGGAAGGGCAGCCTACTTGAAAGTCGCATTTATGTAGGGATCTGACCTCAATAATGGAGAATCAAATGGAAAATGACATGGCAAATGACTGGAAACCCTGGGTCCTTCTAAGGGGGTAATGCGGATATAGAATGGAGAATCGAATTGAAACGAAAATGGAAAATGAAAAGGAAACTGTTTTGTTCTTTATATCTTTGGTCTTAGCATGTTTTGCCTCCAAAGGAATTGTTTAGATGTTGGATCCTTTCAGGAGCGCGATATCTCAGGAAATTTTGCGGCCTGATGATCCGGCTGCTTTCTGGGTACTGTAACAGAGGACCAGTCCTACTTTGGGACAGTCGCCCCTAAACCCTCAACCCTAGTTACTCCACTTCTTGGGACATGAGCACCAGCCCATACACCCTCTAAAGCCCTTGAATCCTACGCCTGTCCCCTGAAAGCCCCCAAACCTCTGTTGCTGCAAGCCCTAAACCTTCACTATATAGTAGTGTCCATTTTCTCTTCCATTATCCCTATATAAGCCCAAGATATACCCTATCAGAATATAGTAATTTTCATTTTAGTTTCCAGTATCCCTATACAAACCCTAACTAGACCCTTACGCCGCAGCCGTGACTGGAATTCTGAAACACATCCTGCAAACTCCTCTCGTCTAACTGTAAACGCCCAAAAAGCGAAACCCTTGCTGAGCCTTGCTGTGGTCCCTGAAGCCCTTCCCGGTTTAGGGTCTAAGGTTTAGGGTTTAAGGTTTAAGCTTTAGGGTTTAGGGCCTGCAACAACAAACCCTGAACCCCACACTCACCCGAGCCTCATACCCTAACCACCAAACCCCAAACCCCTACAAGCCCTAAACCCCAAACCCTAAACTCTAGACCCTAATTAACCCCAAACCCCCAAAACCTTGAATCCAAAATCCTGAACCCTAAATTAAACCCAGGTGAGCTCCGGCAGCGTCGGCGCCGGGAGTGCCGCTGGAGCAGCGGGCTGGCGGCAAAGGGAACAGGATTCTTATAGTTTAGGGTTTAAGATTTAGGGGTTAGGAGTTAGGATTTAGGGCTTAGAGTTTCGGGCGAGGTATATAGGGCCATATGAGGATTCTAGGGCTCAGGGTAGCCAACACAACAACTGCAAAAGAACATGGAAGTTTGGATATGGTCTACGGATTTTGTGGAGAGTTCCAGAAATTGGGGGGCCCTAAGCCCTCAACCAAAACCTATAGTCCTAAAGCCTTACCCCCAACCCTAAACCCGTCCCCTTTTTCAGATCATCCCGTAGGAGTAGGTTTTAGGCTTTGGGGTTAACGTGCCCCTTGCACAGCATCTTCCAGAAATCCAATAAAACACTGCCCTAAACCCTAAACCCCTAAACCCTAAACCGCTAAACCCTGAACCCTAAATCCCTAAACCCCTAAGGGGCTTAGGGTTTGGGGTTTAGGGTTTATCTGAGCCGAAGCCGAACAGAACTGAAACCTGGTATCGTTACGACTATGACTGCCACTACTGCCACTGGTCTCGGCTTCATTGTCATAACTATAGGGTTTAGGGTTTAGGGTTTAGGTTTTCGGGTTTAGGGTTTCGGGTTTAGGGTTTAGGGTAGCCGAATTTTAGGAGTATGCCTGTTCTGTGACCGATTCCGTTCTTACTGGCAATACGGTCACCGTCACCACTGCCGCCGCCACAACCACCCTCCTCCAACAGCTTGCACAGTGGCCCTGAGGATCCCTAGTCCCTTACCCCTAAACCCTAACCCAAATACCATAAGCCCTAAACCCTCTTACCCCAAACCCAAGTTCCATGAAGGGAGGTGCCCTTAATAAAGGACTCTAAGCTTTCTTGAGACCTCCCGGAGCTCCCCTATGGTCTCCTGGTATGAAACCCCGAGTCTAAATCCCAAGCATCCCCCTTAATGACCCGTATATCATTCCCGATATCATCCCCTGTATAACCCCCTTTAAGGGGTTTAGACTATAGCTCCTAATTATGGGGATTTCCAAAAATGTAACGAGAAAAAAAAAAAAAACGCAGCCCAGAAGTCAGTGCAGGGCCTGCTTTCAGGCTTTATATCCATTTTGGAGGGTTTAGGGTTTAGGCACCACAACCGTTCGATTGGGGGTTCTTTCTCTACACTCTGCAAGCAAATCCCGATACCCTAACCTTGAAACCCAATTACTGAATCCTAAAATTCCTAAACTCCGAAGCTTCCATCCTGCACGCCAAACCCTACATCCTAAATCCTAAGTCTAAAGCTATGCCCTAAAACCCCCTACTCTGATCCTTGAATCGGAATGCTGTATCCTAAACCCTTTACCGTAGACCCCCTAATTTCTTCAAACCCCGCACCCATAACTCTAAACCCTAAACCCTGAACCCCAAACCCCTAGACCCTACACCCAAAACCCTAAACCCTAAACCCTAACCCCAAAACACCAACACCCACAAACCCTCAACCCTGAGACCTCGATAAGTGGTAGGCGGTCATCCTACCCGGCTCAGATGCCGCTGGCCCA